CTCAACTCGCATTGTGCTCGTATTTGAAGCATCTCGTGTAGCGACGCCGCTCAAACTCGAAAAGCAGATTCAGTTTGAGATTCGGTCCTTCACCGAGAGTTTGAATGCCCTCCTGGCGCCGCACGCGGAAATCGCCAAGACGCTGCGCGTCGCGTACGCTGCCACGTCATGGACCGGTTGTCTAAACACACCCAACTAGGAATGCATCGGTGCTCAACGACGGTGGTCGCTTTAGCGACGCCGACCTCGGGGCCATTCTCTCAAGTCGCGAGGCCATCCTGCGCTTTGAGGAGGCGCCGGGCGAGTTTTGCGCACTGGTCTCAACATCGATCGAGACGTTCCTAGCGCAGCTGCAGGTGTTTGAAGCCGCTTGCCGCGAGGTCGACTCCCTCCATGCAACGCTGCATTCTTCACAACGCGTGTAGGACTTGTTTGCGGTCGTTGCGACGCCGCTCAAGCTCGGATTCACGCCCGAGAAAGCGGTCGACAGCGAGATGTTTGTAGCCATTGGCCAGGATCTGCACGCGCGCATGAAGGAGCTCACGTCGCTCCGGCACTCGATCAAGTACCAGACCGTCGTCGCCCACTGCAAGGGTTAATGGACAACTTGTCCACGTTGTGCTGATAAATATTGTGGATAGAGGCGCGGTACGAAGTCTCCGTGTGCTACCAGCAGTGGCAACAAGCGTATGCGCGTGATGCGGTGATATGAGAGATGAGACTCTAGTGTGGTGTAGGACCAACGCGCCGTCCAAAGACGCCTCGAAAGACGATGCAATGGCCCGCGTCCGGCGCCAGATCCAGTCGCTGGTTGTCGCCGATGGCCTCGTGTGTGCCTAAGCCATCGACTGGTTCGAGTTGTGTTTTTTAGATTGGAACTTTGTAGCGTTGGCGAGGGGAATGGATTGCTCGCTGTCTCAGCCAGATACTAAGAACTGAATGATGTGCACATTCTATGTCTTGTCTTATCTATCCATATATCTATCTATCTATCTATCTATCTATCCATCTATCTATCCAGCGACCGATCGATCTCCGAAGCGAATATAGTAGCCGTGGTTTTGCATCAATCCATGAGGCTCACATGTACAGTATCAACTTGATACTCGTGCCCATCAATTCGATTAATCTATCGATCTCGTAGATTGATTATTGTGCTATACAGCATTGTACTCCCTAAGGCTGCTAAAGGCATCATACAAACTCAAAAGATGTTTTTCTGCTTGCTAAGTGGAGCTACGCAACACGGGTCTGGCTCACGACCGCGGACGTGCTGGTCGATCACGTAGCTTATAGAAAAAGAAACTCATAGCGGTAATCCGGTAACAAACCGCCTGACAAGATGTTTTTCTGCTTGCTACACTGACAAGGTGGAGCTCAAAATGGGCCTATTTCCTTGAGAATTGAGTCGGCGCGTCAAAAAACGTTGCATTCAACAACTGCGTTAAAACTCTTCCAACCACGGACGGAAAGCAAACATAAGATTGTCGTCTATGCTCCACGATGGCTCCATGTACGAGTCGCCGAATGCGCTGATGGCCAAGCACCAGCCGGGATGGCGCTTGCTGCAAATCTTGACGCCTTCAGGGCCACCGGGTGTCGGGAGCTCAAAGCTCCAGCGCTGGTTGGGCTCGTCGTAGCTGCACTTGTAGCCGTGCACGAACGGCTTGCGCGCATAGTCGTTCCACCACGCATCCAGACACAAGTCGTCTTGGACGTTGCGCAGCATATCAAACTGCGGCGATCCGTTCGACTTGAGAGCGTGCCAGACCTTGCCGCCTGCGTCGGTCGCGCGGCGCGTGTTGACGATCGTGTTCCAAATCGTCATCCACGAGTCGAGGCGGTCGATGGGCCGCCACCAGTACGGTGTGCGCACGGCTCGCTGAACGCCCCACTTGTTGCTGATGTCGGTGCCTGGCAGCATGCTGTCTTCCACGCGAAGGTTGCCCGTCTTGTTGGCAGGCACCGTGCTGTTCATCGCGGCGGCGTAGCCAACAGCCAACGCCACGACGAGGCACCAGCGCAAGGCGAGGAGCTGCGTCATGCCAATGATGCCAAAGTAGAAATGGCTATTGGTGTAAGGACACGAGAGTGGCGATGGAACGACAGCTTCGCGTCTCTGCACCCACGGGTTGAACTGTACAGTATGTACAGTGTACTGCGTGCAAGAGCGGCCGCGAGAGGATCGAGAAGAGTCGGCGATGCGTTCTGCTGATGTTTGATAGTCTGTGTACTGCATATTGATGATACCTTCACGATGCCACCTTATGCCTTTTGCACATTGCAAAAGCTTAGCCAGTCGAAGAGGACTAGCAACTCTAGAAACACACAAATGCAGCGAATCCCACGGATGGAAGAGCCCGACAAGAACCCATGTCGCAACCTATGGTTAGAAGAAGTTGTACTGGACGGTACAGTGCCGCCCATACATGGTCAGCCACAACACTTTAAGAATTCTCATACACGGATGCACGAAGTCCCACATTGAGAGCGACATGCACCCATCCGAATGAGAGAAGAGAACCTCGACAAAATGAACGGTTGCTTCCAGACGTCATTCGGGTCAGACAACAAGTCGCACTTTCTTGCAGAGACCAACGGAGGGCTCCGTCTCCTAGGAAAACTGTAATAGAAAGGGTCGGCAAGAAATAAGGGCGCATCCCGCCTTTCTCGTCGTCCTTTGTTGCAGGTACGTTGCGCGACCACGGCTATTCTCAGACACGGGCTTGTCGTCTGACGCATACCCACATCTGGTCTGGCAATGGTGTGACATGTGACATCTGATTTGCAGTCCACATCGTTGCATCGCGTCTATCGAGCGGTCCAGCAGCATCTACGCGCCGTCGGCTGCGCCCGTAGCGCACCCTGTCTACACCGTTCTTGAAGGTTGAATTCGCCGACAGGCAACCCGTGTCCATCGTCGAGCAGCGTATACGTGGTACTCGATTGCAGGGACGTGCGCTCGCCACGGTTGCACTCTATTGGATCTCGCCAGAGCATACCTCATTTTCAAATTTGCATCGACCCTCGCCTCATGTCGCTGCTGCGCGTCCTCGGGCTTTGCGGTGTGTTTGCCATGGCGTTGGTGAGTGCCACCGCGATGAACAGCACTACGGTGCCCACCAACAAGACGGGCAACCTTCGTGTCGAAGATGCGGCCTTGAACTGGCCGGACCTCACCGACAAGTGGGGCGTCCAGCGCGTGCTACGCTCGCCTCACTATTGGGTTCCTGTCGAACGCTACAACTCGTATATGACGATCTGGAACACGATCGTCAACACGCGCCGCGCCAACGACGCGGGCGGCAAGGTCTGGCACGTCCTCAAGTCGAACGGAGTGAACGAATTCAACATGCTGCGCAACGTCCAAGACGACTTGTGCCTCGATGCGTGGTGGAACCCCGCGGCCAACAAGCCGTTCGTGCACGGCTACAAGTGCAATCGCGACGAAGTCAACCAGCGCTGGGAGTGGGAATTCAACGACTGGAATCGTGGCACGATGATTCGCAGCAAGCGCCATATCGGCTGGTGCTTGATGATTCCAGAATTTGGTGACTCGAGCATGGAGATGTGCAGCTACGAGAACCATGATCTTTTCTTCCAGTTTCGCCAATGGAAAAACGACTTTTAAGAAAATACATTTGCGACAAGCCCTGCGAGTCCGTTTTGTCTCTTGGTTTTGTGTGTGGCGCGTCGAGTGTGGCCTCGTCCATGTGCTATTTGGCCCCTGAGGTGTGATGTCAACTCTACTTGAATGGTACGACGACTAGAAGGTAGCATGCCGTTAATTATTCGTGGCATGCTCGTTTCGCTGCAAAAGAGCTATGGAAATCATGGTTGGGTTGCACACACTGAACCAAGATTCCGACAACATCGATGTGAACTAAAGCAGAAATCGGTTCAACTCTTGGATCGAACGAGAGTACAAGAGTACGACCACGGCGAGGCTTCTTATTCTTATAGCAACGCATCGTCGCGGAGTGGTGTCGCGACGACAAGCGCTTGCGGCAGGCTCGTCTTGGGGGGCATCGGGAGGAGGAACACGCGCCAGAGTTTAATGTCGAATATGACCATCTCCGCACCGAGTCGTAGTGTCAAAAGTCCATCGAGCGCTGCGGACGCACGGTCCACGTAATAGACGTTATTGTGCATCCATGGCGATTGCGTAAACAAATACTTGGCGCCCGACGTGAGAAAAAGTGACGTGACACCCGTCGCCGAGCGGGGGTGGTAGCTTCTGACGACGACGTAGCAGATACCATGGGAGACGAGGACCAGTCCCATCAAGAGCGCCATGCGACCAAGATGGCCAATGGCAATCGTGCCCGCGGTGCAGAGCACTTGGTAGTCGACCGCCTCGACTTGGCACGTCAGGTTCACCGAGAGCGTGGCCGTCACGGGCGCCCAAATCGATATGACCGCAGCGACGATCCACACCAGCACACCGTTGAGAACGACATAGTGCGCTGCATACGGTCCCGTGGCGACCAACAAGATGTCATTGACGATGGTAATCAGCCACGTGACTTCATTGGCCGCCAGTAGCGTCTTGTACCATGGATCTCGGACGGTCGCAAAGTGACTCAGAGAACCTGACGTCTGCAACTGCAAGGTCGCGGTTGAGAGAACCACCATGGCTGTGACACTCCGTAGT